TTCCTGGCCAAACTGGCTCCACTGCAGTCCTCCCCCTACTATACTTTTGGAGCTCACCAAACCCCCCAGGGTCTGGGAGACGAACGCTTTGGGCTTTCACCCTCTCAGGCTCCGGACTCGGACTCGGACTCGGACTCGGACTCGGACTCGGATTCGGACTCGGACTCAGGTTCGGGCTCGGTCTCGGCCTCGGCCTCGGTCTCGGTCTCGGTCCCGATCTCGGTCTCGGTCTCGGTCTCGGTCTCGGTCCCGGTCTCGGTCTCGACTTCGGACTCCATCTCAGACTCCATCTCGGGTCCATCTCGAACTCCATTTCGGGTCCATCTCGGGTCCACCTCAGACTCCATCTCGGACTCCATCTCGGACTCCATCTCGGGTCCATCTTGGACTCCATCTCGGACTCCATCTCGGGTCCATCTCGGACTCCATCTCGGACTCCATGTCGGGTCCATCTCGGGTCCACCTCGGACTCCATCTCGGACTCCATCTCGGGTCCATCTCGGACTCCACTTCGGACTCCAACTTGGGTCCATCTCGGGTCCACCTCTGACTCCACTTCGGACTCCAACTCGGGTCCATCTCGGACTCCACTTCGGACTCCCATGTGTCATGTGTTGGTCCTTTTGGGTCCCTTTTTGGAGCCTCGCCTTTTGCTCGCTTCGTGCTCGTTCCTCGAGCACTTCGTTGGGAGTTCCACTCCCACTCTTGACTTTTCAAGTCGGAGCTTTTGGTCCAAATGTGTTACGCTCGTTTGGCTCTCACTTCGGCCACTACCATGTGGCGCCCTTCCGGCTCCACTTTGGGGCCTAGGGATTTTGTGTCTCACAGATCCACTAGTGTTGTGCTAAAGAGCTACGGACTAACCTATTTGCCACTCATAGCAAACCCAGGGAAGGTTTACTTTCACCTATAGTACATGGAACAACTTATGGAACCACCAATAGGCTAACATTAATCCTGCTATCTCAAAGTGTAACCTTGAGTTGCTAATGTGCTTTACTCACGAGCCCAAGCAAAAACTTGTGCCAAATGGTACACCCCAAATCCATCCTATGAGCCCAAGAGCAAGCTCACATCATAAGGTATAACAAGGTAACCAAATCCATACCAAAGTAACAATCGCAAAGCCTTTGCACCAAATATGTACCCACTCGAATTATCGTTTTCATCTCTACGTATGCAACGAGATTAATTGCTTAATCTCATTGAATAGTACTCGCCAAGACTCATCCTCTGATACCAAATGTAGCACATGTGGTTTTTACCCTTTATCCTATAGTGTTTTACCATAGGATAACCACGAAGCAAAACCTAAACCCTCCATGTGCCATGTGTCATTTAGCATATGTCTAAAGGACAATGGTGTGGAACCTAAATTTCAGGGCCTTGGGCCACTGATCGAATGAACGGTGCCAAACTCCCAAACATAGAGCCGAGGAGCAAAAAAACCGGACCACAGAGCAACTCTTGAGCATACAGGCTAAGGAGTGAAGGGACAGGAACATAGAGCAACTTGGAACAATTCTAGAGCAACCAGCATCCCAATGCTAGGTCTAGCACGCAAAACGGAGCCAAATGGAATTTGGCGCTATTTCGGCATACCGGTGGCTTAACGCAAGGACGTGGGTACTCCATTAGCTAGCATGGTGTAGAACTTAGGCTTAGACCCAAGCCGGACGTAGAACAAAGACAAGCACGCAAGCGGGAGCTAAATTATGCTTTAGGTTAGTCAACCATGCCCAACCTACCCACTATCCTTACTATATATTTGGAACCCCCCATATCCCCCCTGCCCCCCACCCCTTGAGGAACACATGCTTTGGGCTTTCACCCCAAGCCTCCTTTAGTATTAGAAGTTAGTCTCTGGGACAAACTCGAAACTTACTAAATATGGAATGTCCCTAAATTGCGAATTTGGACATGGAACAAACACCATTGTGTTCAAGACAATTTCTACATTTTGTAGATATGCCAAATGAGCAAATCTGGACACTTTTCATAAATAACATTTGGGACCAAAATTAGACTAACATAAAGGGCATGATAGCGAGAGTGTTTGGCAAACACAGTAAACTATCATCCAACGATAGTGAGGGACTAATCACAATACGTGAAGGTTCTTATCACTAGCCAGTGCAAGACACAACAAGACGGGAACTTCTTACCATGCTAAGTATGCTTAGCTAATAACACATAAGAATTTCATCTTTATACTCATTCAATCTAAGTACACTCGAAATGCCCAATTAACTCCACTAGCACAAGAGGGACTAATAAAGGGTCTAACAATACTGACTTCCTATCGTCATGACAATAAGGAAAGAGTGTTCATAAGGACTAGCCGATAGGTAACTTTCGATACCCGAAGTCACATTCGCGACATTATATTTATGATCACAAATAAGTGGCTTTTCATTTTTTAAGGATTCCATACCGATTTACATTATAACCATTCCTTCTATAGGTTGTAGTGCAACTTGATTATAGCTATAAACAAATTCAAGGTTCAAAATTTCCAAGCTCAAACCATCTTTTGGATATGTATGTCCAAGGTTGTTAAACAACGAACTGGGAAGAAACTCAACTTCCACGGTTTCATGGCAGATGTTGTTGGTGCTAATTGGTTAGCTGTACAACAAGTATTTGGAGGTGATAAAAGTCAACTATTACAAGGTAGAGGGAAAAGTTGTGAGTTTCATTGGGCAAAGAGTGTCAATGAACATTGCAGATGCATCAAATCTAGCTTCCATCACAAGTTCAAGCAACTTTGTCGGGAATGGATAGATGCACCAATTAAAGAGGAGCACGAGGCAAAAACAAATGAAATGTGCATATGGTGGTGTGAAGGAGACAAAATGCCAATTAAACACCTTCCACAAATGAAGTGCTAACTTGCATGGTGGGAAGTTCAAATGTTTCAGTGAGGCCATTATATTCTCTATGTAAGTTTTCTTTCATTTTCTTTTCTTTTCATATTCAAATGTTGCATTTTTCCTAGGATCAACCACTTAATAACATTGCACTTACACTAACAATTACTCTCTCTGAGAGCAAACATTGGAGTTGGAGAGCTTCCGAAGCAAGGAAAGGAAAAGTGTCCCTCTATGAAGCTACACTCTCCGACCTCACTAGATCTCTTGAACAATCATCAAAAGTTTTGGCTACACAGGAAGCAAAGTTTGCTGGTACAGGTTCAAACTTAGACAAGCTTCAAGAGCAGGTTGGTAGAAGGACAACACCATCAGCAGGGTCAATATCTGTAGCGCATGTGATCATGGGATGAGATTTGGATATACTATCACCATAGATCCTTGGAACCTTGGGGGATAAATGGGGATAAAATAGCCACTAAGGGCTCTCTCATCAAGCAATTGCCACTTTTTCAGTTGACTTAAGGGGAAAGAGATAAAATGCACTACAATATCTAAGATGGTGGAGGAAGTTGTTATTGGAACTCCTACGGAATCAAGTTATGAACCACTTGGGGATATGGGGATAGCTTGCATGAAGCATCGACAGACATTTGATGGGCCCAACATCACTCCTTCTAGCTCTCATGGTCTAGAGTTTGACTACCATTCTATTCCACAACATTGGAGAAGAACTAAAGAACATGGAGTGAAGGAGGTGCCAATTGTTACACAAGTAAATCCAGTGCCAAAAGTTGAGAAGATTATTGCTCATGAGCCAATTTCTCGTATCAATTGGGCAATTCGAAGAGTCAATGCCAAGAGTAATGTGCGTTGCTCCGGAATGATTGGGAGTCAAGGTCAATGTCTTGCATTTGTGCGCTCAGGTTCAAGTTCTTCAACAGTACCATGTTTTTGGGGCTGTCAAGATCTAAGGGTAAAAGGCCGCTAGTCAAGTTGGATTTACTATTATGGGATTGATGTTACTTATACAAACCAGATCCACAACTCAATTATCTCGAAGCTAGATTCTGTGTAAGAGGAATGGCCAGTTGAGCAAAGCTGCAATCTTTTGAAAGAAGAGATTGAAAGTTTGGAGAGAGCTGGTTTCAAGTTGAAGACTTCCTCAAATGTTGCTAATGATACTGTTATACCACCAATGTTAACACTAGACTGGCATACACGACCAACTAGAAATGGGAAGGCTGTACAATACAAGTCTTCCATTTCAAAAGGTGCACAAAAGAAGATCAAGCTAGCAAAGACGTTGAAATGCACAATCATAAGGATCAACTACATTAATGCCATAGCTAAAGAGTTTATTGTTGTGACTGAGTCGTCAAAGGGTACGAGCTACACTATCAAAATCTGCAAAAATCCATCTTGTACTTATCCAAATTTTACACAGGGAAAGGTATATTTAGCTTTCAAGCACATCTATTACATTTTTATGCAGGAACTAAACCAAGATTTTAAGATTGACCATCACATCCATCAGGTAAGCCTTACAATTGTAGAGCTTGAGAAGTGTTTTTAGATTGCTTTTAATGTTCAAATCTATATTTATATTTGTATTTTATTGGTCGAATTTAGATTAAATAAAAATTTGAAAAATGAAAAGATGTTAGTTCAGGACAAACCAATGTTTTTCTTGTATTTAAAAAGTCGTGAGCTTAGCTTGTGAGCTCAGCTCATGACCCAAGCTTGTTTGTTTATTTTCCAAATCTTTGACTCTGCAGATTCGAACCTGGGCTGGCGCTGAAATGCATCGACGGCTGAGATTGGAGTTTGACCTCCAGGTCACAAGAACCTTGACTGCATGATTACGATGACAACTGTAAAGCCGGAATTATTGCATGGTAGAATCTATGCGCCATACTGTTGAAATGAAGGAACGGGAGGATTTCAGGGCTTCAAGTCTGCACACAGGCACAGCAAACGCCTTGGAGCATGAAGATGATAATGCGAGTTCTAGGTAGTTTGTTATGTTGTTGGTTGTCAATTGTACAATTTCTAGGACTCTGCACTGCTGGAACAATACTCCTGCTGATACTGATATTTTGTCATATTAAAAGTTCTATTGCTGGAACAATGGTTGGAATTGCCGGCTTGTTTGTGATGGTGGTATACATTTTAGTGGTGATGTTCTTCATCAAGAAGAGGAGACAGATTCAGGCTGTTGAATATGACAGTGACACCGTTCTTGAATCCATAGAGAACTTGCGGCCGATACGGTTCACCCTTTCGGATTTAGAACGAATCACAGATAACTTTTCGAAAGTGCTAGGTACCGGTGGTTTTGGTGGTGTGTACGAAGGTGTACTCCCAGATGGTAGGAAAGTTGCTGTGAAGAAGCTGGAAAGTACAGGACAGGGGAAGAAGCAATTCTATGCGGAAGTTGCCATCCTAGGGACAATTCATCACTGGAATCTGGTGAAACTGCTTGGTTTCTGCTCAGAGGGCCTAAACAGGCTTCTGGTTTATGAACACATGGAGAATGGTTCTCTGGACAAGTGGATCTATCAAGATTGTGTCGAACAGAAGGTGCTGAACTGGGAACAGAGAATGGAAATTATGCTGGGGATGGCCAGGGGTCTGGCATATCTGCACGAGGAATGCGTAGAGAAGATTATCCACCTTGACATAAAGCCTCAGAATATCTTGCTGAACGAGGACTTGGTCGCGAAAGTGGCGGACTTCGGTCTCTCCAGGCTCATGTCTCGCGATCAGAGTTACGTTATGACAACAATGAGAGGTACTCCAGGCTACCTTGCACCAGAGTGGCTACTGGAGGCTGCTATAACAGAGAAAAGCGACGTTTACAGCTTTGGAGTCGTGCTGCTGGAGGTGATTAGCGGGCGGAGGAACTTCTCTCGAGTTTCTGAGAGAGAAAAGTTTTACCTCCCGGCTTACGCATTGGAATTGGTGACACAAGAGAAGGATATGGAGCTGGTCGATCCGCGGCTGAAAGGCAAGTGTGATGAAGCAATCGTGCGGACAGTTATCAGGATTGCGTTCCAGTGTCTGCAAGAAAACGGGAGCTCAAGGCCATCGATGGGGAAGGTTGTGCAGATGCTGGAAGGCTCCTGCCCAGTGGAGGACATTCCCGTGGATGGCCCTCCCTTCTCAACCAGGAACGAATCTCGCACCCTGCATGTTGATCTTCTCAGGACAGGCTCTACGAGTACATCTGCAGAAGGGTACATCCAGCATGTTGATTTTCTCAGCACAGGCTCTACATCAGGCTCTACATCTACAGGAGGGTACGGCCCACACTCGGGCTTAAGCTTGAGCGCTCGATGAGGATCAAGCCTTGTAATAATTTGAAGCGAAGGAGCTGTGACAGGAGTCAAGCCTGTTCTAGTATGCTTTTGCTTCTTTTTCTTTCTTTTTGACTCGCTTTTTTTCTTCTTTTGTAATGTGATAGGTGGGAGCTGGGTATTTGCAGCGGCCAGTGCAGTGGAAGCAATCAACAAGATTTCAACCGGACTGCAGGTGGATCTATCTGCACAACTGTTCATTGAATGTAAGTTGGGACTGCAATGCACAAGACATGATTTTTTTAGATTTTTTATTTTAAATTAAAATTAATAAGATTTCATGTTTTGAAATAAATTAGCACAAACATTTATAGTTGAGAATGACCATGAATAAGGGCTATACTTGTAAATAATCATAACAACAAGAACATATTAATGTTTAATTCATATGAATTATATTATTTTTAAATAGTGCAAAAAGTACCAATTAAGTTCACACTGTATCTAAAAATAAAGAGTAAATAAGAAAATAATTAAAAATCATATTGAGAAAAGTGAAATAAACTTTTAAAATATCACGATGAGATATCTTTCTCTAATATTGAAAAGTTTTTATATGGTGTTCTTTATTCTTTTTTATTGTTATCACACTAAAATGTTAACATGGTATTGTGCTCATTTAATTCTTGATGTGTTGTTGATCTTGTAAGGGGGGGGACCAAAAATTGTTGCCACGTATCCCCATCTAAGGCTCTTGGCGGATACAAGCACAATCTTCCAACTATGCAAGAATGAAGCACAATCTAAATCACCTGAGTTTCATGGAGTTCGCTGCTCAATGTGTAAGCTGCTAGCATAGATTTTCAAGTGATTATGTGCCGGTAAAAAGATAAAATGAATTGGATTTTGATGCTCAGCGCATATGCCCGGGTTGGGCATCTGGAGCAAGCAATGTCCTTCACGACGATGGGCAGGGTGCTTCGGGACGTGGATTCAGGCTGGAGCTGCTTCGTGTTGGCGTTGGCTGGAGCTGAAAACTTCAATTTCACAAGAAAAGGGAGAGCGAATGGGAAAATCACCCCAAAAAGAACAAAGAAAAAAAATCGTCGTCACCTCCAGCTCATTTCTGGACTGGCAAGCGCTCAGGCTGCTGAGCCGCCTACAAAATAGTCAAGACAACATTATTCATGGCACCAAGAATTCCATCCGGATGGTCTAGTGCATATCTCAGGAGTCCAAGAGCCGCAGGTGCTGCGAGCCAGGTCTTGAAGATGCGCTGGTTGCATGTCCACATTATCCGGAACCGCTGAGACTTCCAAGCCGCTAGGAGGAGCTCGCTCTCGGACTCTCTTTGCGCCCTCGATCGGAACCTCTGCATCGATAGATTGCTTTAGAGACAAATTGCCGCGTCGGCAGTCCCGGAGAAATCGGCGGAGAATACCAACTGGTTTTTTACGGACAGCCACTTGGTGTGATTCGTCGCGGCAAACCATCCCAAGCTCGATTTGAGACTGAAGGTGGGCGAGATATGCCGCTGTTTGGGAACCCTCGCCCACCTCTTTCCACTTGTAAGGCTCGAATATTTCTCAAGCCACGAAATCCGAAGGACGGCCACGACGAAGAACGAGAATGCCATTGAACGTAGCTCGGTCTAGGTGTCACGAGCTGTAAGATCAAAGTTTACATTCCTTTGGATGTCGAGAATCCCACAAGCCCGATCCCTGGTATGCTATTTTTTTGGTCCTTGTGGCTGGTTTTTACCTTGAATCCCTTGCAGCACAGCGCGGCTGCCATCGAGGAGAAGATGTATGTGGTGGGAGGATGCTCCGCGGACCGATACTTGAACGATGTGCTGGTGAGTTTAAGTAGCGTGGATCTTTCTCAAGTTCTTTATAACACTCTCGTGGAGGTTTTGGACTTGGGAAGCTTGAAGTGGTCGACAGCCCAACCTTGTCCCGTGTCGTGCGCCGGCCATTGCCTGGTGAGTTGACGCTGTTCAAGTTGTTTCTAGCGGGCTTTGCTTAAACACAGTCGACGAGCTTTGCAGTTAGCAGGTGGAAGAACGCTCTTTCTCGTTGTTGGCATTCCGTCTGATGAAGAGATGCACGGTACTGTGTGGTTCTTTTGCTTTCCTCTTTTCTCATGCCTTGGGCTCATCAATCAGTCTATGAGTTTGACACGAATATCAATGAGTGGTCACTTGTGGAAACGGCGGGAGACATTCCGGTAAGCATTTCAAGACTGTCTCGTTGTATCTTCATGCGGATTTATGTAGGCTGCAACTCGTGGTCACTCCGCCACCCTGATCGGGAGCAAAATATGGGTGTATGGCGGTGTGGACTTTCAGGGTCAGCTGCACCCTCGGGTACATGCACTCGACCTGAAAAGCAAGCAGTGGGAGCTGGTTAACGCAAGGTACGCAGATCCAATAGAAAGATCGCAGTTCCATACCTCCGTGTGGCAGTGGATCCATCCCGCCACCGCTTGCTTTCCATGCTGCGGTGCATAAAGGCGATCATCTGTACCTTTTTGGAGCTGGTTCATCTGGCTTTTGCAAGAACCTATACGCACTGAATCTCGTAAATGTAAGCACGGAGTCTTATTATATAGCTCTGATCAAGTGCCCAAAATGTTTGCAGCGTCAATGGTCCTGGTATCCAGATCAAGGTCCGACCCGCGTACCTGCAGCACGTTTTGCAACTGCTGTCACCGGAGACAAGTGCTATCTTGTTGGTGGTAAGTTTATTTCTTCCATGCTCCGACTACCTCTTATATATCTATCTATACACTAGGCGCCACAGAAGAAACCATGCTACTGAACATGGAGTCTTTGAAGTGGACCGTAGTGTGCGCTGAACCTCGTTTGGCTACTGAGGTAAGTGCTTAAGTTTCATTTGTTTCTGCGAACGGAGGAGATCACTTGTGTAACATGTAGAGCCTGAGCATGGTGCACGCGAGAACCAAGGGTCGAGGCGCTCTGATTGCTTCAGGGGGAAATCCGGTACGCGTTTTATGTGTTGGCCGCTCACCCGACTTCTTACCTGCAGTTTAGCGTCTTTCTACTCAAGACTATGAAGTCATATCCAGTGCTGCCGCGTCCGATGGGCAAGTGCCAGGTCAGGGGCGTAGACGGTTCACTTCTGGCGCTGTTTGATATTCCAGACGCAGGGGAGCAGGCTCTTGAGATTACAGACAGGGCGTGGAGGAAGGTGGGGGACAGAGGCTACTTGGTGAGGGACGGCCGTCCTCTGGAACGTAACGTCGCCATTTTTCCAGGAGACGAGCTAACATTCCACCGGAGTGACTCTGTTGGAGTAGCTAGCATTCAACGCAACAGAACGTGTGAGGTCCATCTCATGACACTTGAAGACTGTAAGCTTGTCCTCGCCCGGTTGAAGATCGAGGTTATGAGAGGGGAAGGGTGGCTAAACCCGCGGGAGGAAATCGAGTGCGAAGCCTTCGCAGGGTGGAATAGCAGGAGGCCACGGGACACGGTAACGTACCTGGAGGAGCGTGCCAAAGTTGGCGATCTTTTCAGGCTGCCGCATGTAGTTGACGGCGATGGCATAGACTTCGTGCAGGAGATCTGGAGCTCGACCGCGGGTGAGGAGTTCCCCTACACCCTCCGCTTCGCGCTGGACGTGATGCTCGTGTACATGTGTGTGGCCGAGGACATCATCATTGGCTACTATATCAAGGAAGAGATTAACGAGCTGCACATATGGAGGGCGCTGGTGATGTTGCTGGGAGTGAACATCAAATGCCGCACCCTCAAGCCGTGGGTGGTGATCACGGACCTCAAAGACGAGTGGCACTTCGCGTGGATGGACTGGCCACGCATGTACGTGTGCAAGGCGCGGAGCAGGAGCCAGGGACTGGGGATTGTCCAGGACCTGTGCAACGACTACAACCTGGTGACATCGCCTGAGACGGCCGGCGTGCTCTCGAACCTGCCTAGCGTCTACACTCGCGCTTGCTCGGGGTTCAAGTGTGATTTTGATGAGGAGACACGGCTGATGTTCTCCCCTCACCCGGTTGCGGTTTGGAGGAACGACACACTCGAGCCATATAGACCTGAGGGGGAAGGGTATTAGCTTATCAGCTTTGGTGGTAAATTTTTGAGTCAATGGGAAGCCACTACTTCCTTTTTCGTTCTGCAACTCTATCCGTTGCGCTACAAGGAGAACGCTGGTTTCCAACACTACATGGAAGCTGATTTCTCAAAGTTTTTCATGGGAATGAATTGCCAGAGAGCGAGCACTTCCAAAAGATTCATCAATAGTCCAGCTGACGAGCAACGCAACATAAAAGATCTCTCAATCTTCCTACGAAGGTTTCCTGAAGCTTTGGCAGGGGCTCAAGGATTACATCAAGAAACACGGCTGGTGGACGCTAAACACACTCAGTTTAATACAGAAGTTGAAGCTTGTTTGAGAACCACCAAAATCAGCTCCGAATCGCCCCAGCTCTTCCGCGCCATGGGGACAACATCACATTGACCAACGTCGCCTGCGAAATCTGCTCGGGATCATCCCGGAGCACGGATTACCCGAGGACACTCCCCTGGGCATCAATATGTTTGCCAAGTGTGGGGATTAAGATCTTCGACAGAAGCAAGCAGGAAGGAGAAAGCACAACCAAAGATGCCGCTGTGGCTTCATGTTCGCCCAAAAGAGGCTGGCTCCCAGTACACAAGCACTGGCTCCCAATACACACAAAAGTTACCACCAGAAATTCAAATTCAAACGAAGTATATCCACAATGATTCCGTGTTTAGGGCTAGGGTTTATGAGGAAAGAAGAATGCTCGCCGCGGAGTCTCGCTAGCTGTTGAATCTGGAGCAGTCCTTTCGGATTTCTCCCTGGTTTCCAGTCTTGACGCCGACGGCTCCCAGGTTGTCCATGGCGGTAGCGAACGCGGCGAAGAATGCGCCCTGCTGGCCGGCGTATGCCGTGACGAGGCCCCTTGTTCTAGCGTCGCTGTGGAGGATTTGGTCCGAGGCGAGCACCGTGACTCCTCTCACAGCGTTTTGGTAGTAGACATTGTCGAATTTGGCGGGGGTGGTCACGTCGTTGTTGGCAACCACTCTTGGATCCACTGACTGGGGGCAAGTGAGCCGCAAATCCTTGGCGAAGTTGGGATCCATTGCGGGATCGAATTGGTGAGTGCTGTTGAAGTTGTAGATCCGGCTCATGAATTCCTTGCAGTGAGCGAAGCCGATGGTGTGAGCTCCTGAGAGATTTCTTTGGTGAGTTTGATAGAGGAAGGAGAAGGGAGTTTACCTGAGAGAGCCACCATGTCCGTTTGAGAGAGTCCTTTGGAAGCGAAGAGCTTGGTGAGCTGGTCGACCGATTGCTCGGGCTTTGGCAAGTTACCATCGACTCTTGAAGCTTGCGAGATCTTTCCATCTTTGCGGCCTTTCCTCACTGTCCAAGATGGTCCTCCTGCCTGCCATCCCGACAATCAATGCAAGAAAAAAACTCGGAGGACAAAGACCAAGGGAAAAAAAGGATTTTTTTTTCCTTGGACACGAAGATAAGATGGAGGAGAATCACTCACCAGCACAACGAGGTCCCTGGTGGCAATGGCGAGAATGTCCGCGCAAGAGACGACCCCGGGGCACTTCTCCTCAACAGCAGCTTTGGCTTTGATGACCGAGTCGAAGCTATCGCCTGCCAGCGACAAGTTGATCTCGGCATCCTTCTCTGCGCTGTTGCTGGCCGTGGAAGCGATGAGCACCGAGGCATCGCATCCCTGCGGCCGAATTCCATTCGAAAACTCAGACCTTTGGGACGAAGGAAGGCGATAGAACTTACAGGGAGATTGGACTTACATCGACAAAGCAGTCGTGGAAGAAGAGCCGCAGCGTGCCAGGGACGCTGTTGGGTGTGATCTTGAACTTCTGGAGCATCACTTGCTGGATGATAGACTCCACATTGGGGCAGGAGCTGCTGTAGTAGCCTGGAGAGAGCTGGGCATGAATGCCGGATCCAAAGAGGAGTAGCAGCAGCAAAGCAACAAGACAAGAGGCCTGGACTGGTACTAGCATGGCGCTATCTCTCGACTACTCAATCAGCTCAGAGCGCTCTCTCAGAGGCTTTGCTTGCGAGGAGCAAATGGGAAAAAGGGGAAAGATCTACTCACGCAAGTCTAGGAGGAGAAGAAGAAAGAGGACGTAAGATATAATGAAGGAAGCTGGAGGAGAAATGCAAGGACATCCGAGGGAAAGACAAGCGCTGGAATTGAAAAGAGGCCAAAACTACCCAGCGGCGACGTCTGGTTCTTTCCAGCTGTGGTCAGCTTTATATCTCCGACTGTGTCTGGAACGTTTGGACGCTCGAGAACGAAGACTGATACCCGCGGCCCCACGCTTGGATCTCTGCAACAATCCTCGACGCGTAACTCCGTCTCCGCGAGATCATTTTTTCTGGGATTGCGTGAGGGAAAGTTACCAGTTCATGGTTTCCAGGTACGTAGTTTTCTCTTGTTTATTGCTGGAACTTGACCATTCTTTCATCTCTTTGTTTTCTGACAGAGTTTGATGGTTTCCAGGTACGTAGCGTTCTTTGTTTACTGCAGAAACGGCATCTCTTTGATTTCTTGCAAAGTTACCAGTTCATGGTTTCCAGGTACGTAGTTTCTCTAGTTTATTGCTCAAACTATCTCTTTGTTTTCTTACACAGAGTATCTCTTTGATTTCTTACAGTTCAAGGTACGTATTTTTCGTTGTTTACTGCTGAAGCTTCTCACTCTTTTTCTTTTACTCGTGTGCTTCCAGGGGCCCTTCGAGCAAGGTACATGGAATGAGCTGCTTAACAGCTCATTTTTCTACGGCGCCCCGACTTTTATATTCACGGACTGGCGGACGAGGGAAATAGAATCTCGAGGCCCGGTAGATGCGACAAAGCGGCAAGAAAATATGAAAGCTTTTTGATCCCGCGGTGGTGGTGGTGGCTAAGCAAGCGGAGCCTACGCAGCAATGTTGATTGAGAAGGAAAGGCGGCAGCTTTCTGGAGAGAGTGTGGTACTGGTACATAATCTTCTGGTCAGTCAGGCCTCTCGACTTCCAGGCAGGCTTCTAGAGGCGAGGAAAAAGCTCGTAAACAGGGAAGCGAAGAGAAAAAGAAGAGTGAAGGCGGCAAAGAAGATGAAGGAAGGTGGAAGTGAATTTGGAATGGGACGTGTGGTACCGTCTTTAAAAGCATCACCAGGACATAACAGTATGGATTGGGATGGGAAATGGAGGATGGAGGATGGACCACAACACCAACAACACCACTCACGCGGAATGAAGGATATAAATGGGGAGAGTTTGGTTCTATTCCTCTGGGAGACACTTTATGCGCTTGAATCGAATATTTATCGTCGTGAAGAACCGCAGCATCAAAGCTTGGCACCCACTCACGCAGAGGTGGGTCATGGTTTGTTGTTGTTTAATGCTTCTACCTCTTAGTTTACTCATACCGTTTGTACAGGGGACAAACAGGCAGGTTCTCGTTTTTCTTTTTCTTTTTTCAGGATTCTTTGCATGGAAACTGTTGCTGATGACGATCACTTTGCAGAATAAACAGGACCTTCCGTTTCCATGGCCAGGAAACGTGTCAGGTCGCATGCAAGGCTCGCCGTAGCTACAAAAAGGCCAGCTTTGGGACTAATCCATCGCTCATCAGTGCGCGCGTTTGCTGCGACGTAGCTATCCCACCGGTCAAAGGGGAGTTTCTCGTTTTTTTATTCTTTCTCAACATGTCGTCGGACAGCGCGCAGGGAAGGAAAGAGGTATTGTGTCTCTGTCTGCTTTCGTGTGTTATCTTAACTCTCAAGTGTTTCGTTTATCAGGAGCTCAAGGGGAGTGCTCAAGACAAGATGGACCAAGCCGGTCAGAAGAAAGAGGTGAAGTATTTTCTTTTCTCTTATTGTTCTTTTCTGTTTATTCTTCTCTTTTGTTTCATTCCGAGAGTGTTGATCCGCAGGACATGAAAGGCACTGCTCAGGAAAAGATGGAGCAGACCAGGGACAAGGCTGGCGAAACCAAAGATCAAGCCAGCGGTATGTTCCAGCAGGTAGAAACAATTCTTAGCTGAAAGACGATTGACAAACTATTGGAAATTTTGGATCTCACAGATGGGAGACAAGGTGAAACAGGCTGCGGATAAAACGAAGGAAACTCTGGCTGGAACTGGAGATAGGATGACTGCGGACAACAAGAAGGCGTAAACGAATGCTCCAAAGAGTTGAGTGAAAATAAGAGACCTTATGCGCGAATGTTGTCGATCGTGAGAAAGGCCATAGCGCAAATACAACGACGATCATTGCACGGAATTTAGTTCTCCAAATTATGTTCTAAGCAATGAAAGTGGTTTAAATTAAACTGTCTTAGGTTATATTTAAATGATAGGATTGTGAGGCCGACTCATAGCATCCCAGCAAAAGGTCGAAGTTTGCGATCTCAGGTGGAGGATTTGGCACAAGGCTGTTCGTCACGTCCTTGAAATGCCCACACCGGATGTTGTGCAGCTCGTAATCTTTGCTGGTGATTACCATAACCAGAATCTGCCTGCCTTTAAAGCCGCCAAAAAGTTTGTACTTCTTTTGATTGACTTGCACTTTGCATCTTGACTAAACTGCTTTCTTACAGGATGGTACCAACTTCAATTCAGATGCGAGCGAAGAAGCACTTGCAGGTAAATGCAACATGGTGGAGGCGGTGGTGTTACTTTCCTCAACTTGCCACAAACACTCATCCAAGACGAAGGATGCAGATCCACACAGTGCCTTGGTGATCTTTACGAGGAATCATTACATCTTGGATTCACCATCAAGGTTCATGCCTCGGAGACTCGCGCAGTGGTTCGACACGGTCCTGAAAGTACTGGCTGGTGATATTGTTCTCACGCCTGTTGTGCGCCAAATGTGCGAGGTAACAACAGCGTCATGGAGCTTAGCTTTGGATGAGATATCGATCTCTACAGGAAGTGATCGTGAATGATGATCACAGGGATGGAGAATGGCGATGCCATCAACAACTGGTCTCAAGCGCGAGGAGATGTCAGAAGAGTATACTGGCTGGGGAGTGACGAGAGTGCGACAATAGGACGCTTGATCCGGGCCATGACCACCAAAGGCAAGAGCGACCATGCGGAGCTCCAAGAGCTGCGCGGCTCCACCACGAAGTCATTTGTGGAGCACGTCAAGCGTCATGTAGGATCAGCCGATGGTCAAGCCGTTGAGCAGCTTTATGTTGCAGTAACCAGAATTTTTGGAAGAGCGTTTGCTGGTATCTTTGTTTGCCTGTGCGAGAACGCTCACTGGGAGGAATCTGGAGTAATGAGTTCTCCTTGGAGGAGCTCCAGGAGATGCATGGAGGGGAAATTACTGTGTTGGCCACCCATGGCTCGAAAAGAATGCAATGTGGCAGATGGCTTCTGTCAACGATATTATCGTTTACTTGATAGACATGAGTATCTTTTGTAGAGCTTCTCATCCTTTTTGTTTTTTTTTACATGCTGCAGCTGATTTATGAAGATGTCTACAGCAAGGCATCCTTTTCCCTTCCTCGCAGTTCTTGGATAAGAGATTGTGAGTAATCAATTTCACTTATTCAGGAGGCTGAATTTTCTTGTTGAATTTCCAGGCCAGTCTTTACTGTTTTGCAGGCATGTGTGGATGGATGTTGAAGAAGACAATGAAAAGGGAGTTTATCTAGTGGAAGAAGAAAAGTAATAATGCAAAACTCAAGGACCTTTTATTCGAAACAGTCTAAAAGAAAACCACAGTCATATGTGAGGAAACGGGATGATGATTAAATAAACTTAGCCAAGAAAAGCTAAGTACTGCCACCAAGTATGGCTCTGCATTCCAGTTCTAGGCATGATCTAGTTACAAGAGTTTTTTCCAGCTTAATCCATGTAGAACTTGCGTAATCTTGGCTGCATTGAAACACAAGGCTTACATGCCAGAGAGCCCTGGTATATAGTATGGGAGTGATAAAGTGTAGGATTCACCCTTGAACGCGGCGTAACCACCGGTTGTGGAACATTCAAAGTTGAATTGAAACTTCGTAAACCAATAGTTAGTCCCAAAATAGCATCAGAGCTCTGGCTTTGATTTGTCATTCTATATTTTAGAAAAAAAATCTTTCACTTCTGTTTCGTGCTGATTGTACACAGGAATAAAACGTGGTTCCAAATGCGTAGATTTTCTTGTGGTGCAGCTGCTGCAAGTGCGAGTTGCAGTCATCGCTTACAGGCTCAAGCTGCAATATAGAAAATCCAGTGAGTGGGGATGCTCTTCTTAGTGGCAGTTTGCCATGTTTGACTGGTTTTTACTTGAGTTTACTGAGAATTTTCTAGTAAAAGAATATCCGAGTAACGTTCATTTTCAAAATATTGATAGACATTGTTGAAAATTTGTATACTATTAGATCCTATTGTTCTTACCATTCCTTGAATATTGATTCTTTTTTTTGCTTCTTTTTTCCACCCGCTCCCACTTGTGTGAAGGATCCAGAAGTTGTGAAGGAATATGGGAAGGCATACAGGACAAGGAAGAACACAATCAAAAGTCCTCCAAGAGGAGGTAAAGTTTGAATTAAATATTGCTAACAAGTTTGATTTTAATATTATAATGTAAAAGTAATCTCTTTAACATCAGTGCCTTTATTCATATGCTTGTGTTTTTCTTTTTTCCGGTGTAGTTGAGCTTGAGATGGTGGAAGATGAGTGTAGACCACTCTTGAGCTCACGAGTTGAACTCAATTTTCAATTGTAATTTAATACAAACACTATAAACCTTAAAATATCAAGGTTATAGTGAATTTAATAATTTCACAACTCTCTACAAATTATATTATTCTAACAATTTAAATACTAATTATATGCCATATTAGAGATGTTTGCTAGAACATAAAATAAGATGTTTGTAGAAAAAAATTTCTTGTCACTTCCTTAAATCTGTACTTTGTGTAGTAAATATCAAGTTTGTCAAAATTTAAAAATTATTAAATTTGAAATAAGATTCTATATAATGCCATATAATAGTTTGAGAGGAAAAAAAAATTATTGATGTAAGTTTATTGTATATTGGTTCTTCTCTAGGATACATTTGTCATAAATAGTGTCTAAAATTTATGGATTTTCATTTGCACTATCATTTGAAGAGAGGGAAATACATAAAAATATTTGTTAGTTCTAGTGTTAGTAATTTTAACTTTTGTAATATTTCTTTCCAAAGTAGTAATTCAAGGGTTAGAATCTGTAATAGTCATTCTATTGCACAAAACAACTAAACTATACAAGAAAAAGAAAGAGAAGATAGTGAAGATAATGATCACGAGTTGAAGATAAATGCAATGATAAAGGGTATAACAAATTAGGCGAAAAAGAATGCTCTTCTACTTATTTTAGAAAACTCCATAACTTTTAAGAAATACCCTATATATTTCCTAGCTTTTGGCAGAAATATATATTTTCTAGCTTTTAGCAGAAATAATGGCGATGATCATTATGATGGTATATATGTAACATCATATATCTGAAAGATTACCATGAAATATTTTTGAGATGGTAAAAACATAAATGAAAACACACAAGTAATATGAACACTTGCAAATATATGAAATGAAAAATATTTTTTATTAATTATTTAAGGTATAATAAGTTTATATTATTGATAGAGAATAAACATCAATAGTTTTTGAAAACCTAGTTAGCTCCAAAAATCTTTTGCAACTCAGTAAAGAGCATATGCCTTCCTATGTTCCTCGCACTTCATAAAGTCTGGACATATGCAAAAAGGAAGATCTTGAATGACAATTATATACTTTCCACCTTTTGTTTTGACTATGTACTCCTTTGTAATCACAATGATGTACTTCATGGAAAGAATTTCGCACTCAAGTGTTTGAGCTAAACTTATTTTACCTTGTTTTTGTTGAAGACGGTACTAAAAAATTTAATTACCTTTTTTTGCTATCCTCTTATGCATTTATATAGGAATAGTCTTAGTTCTGTCACTTATATCTCCAACTCTCCTTTCAAGATTGAAACTAGATTTCTCAAGGTTTTCAAATTCATCTAAGGTGAATGTGACCCCATTAGCAATTGGCCATTCTTTAAGTATTACATTAGATTTAGTCATTATAGTGTCTTCAAGCTATTTCATATAGTTGATATTAGTGTTGTAACAATATAGCCATCACCATCTTGAAATCCTACTTGTTTTCATTCCCTATAAAAACATGGGGTTGGAACAGAAGAAAACTTGTCACCGCGGATCCAAGCCCAACACTTGCCCCTCAGAAGCATCCCTAGACACCTTATATTGGATTTTGCTAGAACTCAACGAATTACCTATTAAAATCCTTATGTAAGATGTTAATGAAGATGTAATATATATGCTTGCAAGGAGCATATGCCTTCTCATGTTCCTCATGCTTCATAAAGTTTAGACATGTGCAAGAAGGAGGATCTGCTTCTACTTGGATAGTACTAATAAATTTAATTGCCTTACTTTTTTTTGCTAACCTCCTATGCATCTTTGTGGGAATAGTTTTTGTTCTATCACTCATGTCTCAACTCTCCTTTCAAAATTGAAACCAAATTTCTCAAGGGTTTTCAATCTCATCTAAATGTAAGTTTCTGAATTTAGATTTTTTAGGGAGGCTTTTGAAAACTACTCTATAGCACATATCAAATTTGATAAATATGCTTCATATAGACTTATCTTTCCTTTCCTTGCCTCAAAAGAACATTAGCTCCAATGTTTATTCTCTAAGAGATTCACAATTGAAGTGTATACAAGATCTTTATGTGATTGGTCATAATGAGAAACATGATATTAAAAGGCAATAAAAAGAGAAGTAAAAAGAAAAACAAACCTGAAGAGAGTGATGTCCCCATTGGAACATTTTAATTTCCCACCACTTCAACCATGACTCAAGTTATGGTAGGCAACTTACGTTTGTATAACCATCTTCATGCCACCATATTCAGATTTTGTTTATTTTTGCCTCATGCTCTTTTTCAGAAGGTGCAACCTACTATTATTTGCAAAACTCCTTAAATGCTAATTAAAAACTTGACTTGATAAGGTGGCAGTGCTAGTTTAAGCTCTAAACCCAATGGAATTCACAAGTTCTCTCATGACCTTCTAGGTTGACCATTTGCCCAAACACCATTCTAATTAGCCCTAGCCCCATCTGCTATGAAACTGTAAAAGTTGGCAAGTTTACCAGTCTGCTTCAATGCAATGTCAGAGAAAAACTTCCAAAATATTTCCTGGTTTGTACTTTAAACTTTACTATTGCAATTGTCAAGTTGGAATATAACCTATA